GGGGGACGGGCTGTGTCTGAGTGGGGGGAAAGCAAGAGCTGAGAGATTTGGCGAATTTGCCTGTGTGTTTTTGCTGCTAATGTGGTCAGAGGAGTTAGGTGATGGTTTAAAAGAAGGAAGGTGAAGGAAGAGAGTGGCTGTAGGAAACTTTTTCTGAACAGACTGGGGAGAGAGAAGAGGAAGGCAACCAGACAGGCTGCATCTGAAGGAGAATTGGAAAGGGCTTCCTGTGGTGAGGCTACATTTGCATATGACTGAGTTAGGAAAACAGAGGCTGTAAGGGGTTCTTGGTAGGATTAAAGGTGAGTGAGTTTACAGCAGAAAGACACAGGTTTTTGAACACAGAGAGGAACTTTTAACATTTGTAACTTTTGAAGAGGACATAGGAGGGACTCGGTAGGAGGAGCGCAATAGGAATGCCTAAGTCTGGATTGTTTGGGATAGAAGAGCAACTGGAGAACAAAGAGGTTAACTTGGCTGGTATAACCCTGGTAACAGATGATGTAAGAGGTAGGATAGGAATGGCTGAGTTTGTATTGGTCAGGATGAAGGGGGAGGGCGAGGTTTCAGACAAAGAGATCTACCTTTGGCAAGAATTTGGGCGGTCTTTAGAGGAGATGCTGGTGGGGTTGGGGGGGTGATGAAACTGTGACAGAAACAGAGTTACGGGAGTGAAACAAAAGAAAATTTCTTTAAGTCCACTGGCAGAAAGTGTTTAGATGCCGAACTAGTTTATTTTTAGGCCACTGAGAGTTATTACTTAGGTGCTATTGTGGCCGCTCAGTTACAGGAGAAGGATATTGAGGCAGAGGTCTTCAGCTAGACTCAAGTGTGAGAGGTTTGAGAGAAGGCAGTTCGAGAGACCTTCTCTTGAAAACTTGGATAGACATTGGTTTCCCATGGTTCCCAGATCTGTGGGTGAGGCAACCGGAATTCTAGAGCGTCCTCTGGAAACCAGGAATCTCAGGAACTCTTACAAGTGGAGAGATGCTATAGATAGCTTGAGCGTCTTCAGAGACATCATAATCACAGCCTGGAAGAAATGCCTGGCATTTCTGGTTGGCCTTCCAACACAGATCTTTGTTTTTTGTGGGTATGTGGGATGGAAGGCCAATGGAACAGATCTGGGTTCTCATGGGAGTTCACAATGTTTGGACTGGAAAGCTTAAAAGCTTTGAAACAGAGGAACAAAGGCTTAATATGCCTGGAAATCAGTTGGGTCTAGCTTTAGGAGCCTCCAGGAGAAGGAGAGGGAGAATACAGAGATCAGAAAGACAAAAGGGGCAGAGATCTGGCCAGCAGCTGCCCACACAGAGCACAGGGGAGAGGGAGAGCAGCAGAACTTTTCTTTAACGTTCAGCATCTCAACACTGCACAGACTGGTTCGGAAGAGAGTCTGGGGCGCCAGCACTTGCCTTAAGGCGGGGGCGTAGCACCTTAACTCATCTCCCGGGTTTCGGCACCATATGTTAGGTTAGGTTAGGTTAGGTTAGTGGACTTAAGAAGAAATCAGAGAGAACGAGAGAAAGCTTAATGCAGCTTTATTAAAGGGGGCGGGGGGGGGGGGGGGGGGAAGGGGAGCTCCCGGGTGAGTTCCTCATTCTGGAGAGGCAGAATGGGAAGTCACACTGTGAACTTACTGGGGAGGATTTTTATAAACAGAGTCTTTAGGGAGGGACATTCCATTCTGTTGTACGAGCCACCTGCTAGCTTAGCCAGGCAGGCAAGGCCATTTGCCTTCTTATCTGAAGCAGGCAAGGCCATCAACATTTGAGTTCTGAATTCTTCATTCTTCTCTTTGGCCCTCTTTGCCCAGACTAACAGTAATAATCAACCAAAACAAAATAAGAGATGAAAAACACAGGGATGTCGACGAGTGACCAATGAGTTGGAACTGATTCAGATCAGACCCTCCTGCAGGTTTTCAGAGGCTGTAAGTCGCCAGGAAGGAGATTGCCCATCTTTCTCCTGTAGAGCAGCTGGGGCATTCGAACCTCTTACCTTTGAATCGACAGCACAATTTCTTACCACTAAGCCACCTGTACTTCCCTGAATAGAAGGATAAAAGTGAGTTTTGTTGAGGGTTATGCTCATCAGAAACTTCTGAAAAGAGTCAGTGTCATTTTAAATCTGTGTAGATAAAGTGGCACTTTGCTTGCTGCAGAAGTTCTTGAAACTATCAAATTGTACTGGTTGTGGTGGTGGTTATGTGCCATTGAATCATGGCTATGAACAGCAGCTCTGAAGCCCTTCTGATCCTGAGCCAATTCCTCAGTCTCTGACCCACCTAACCCCAATACCTCAGGTACTGCGACAGTTCATCTAATCCAGGGTCTTCCTCTTCCTGTGCTGTCCCTCCACCCTTCCAAGCATGATGCCCTTCTCCAAGGACTGGTCCCTCCTGGCCACATGGTCAAAGAATGTGAGACGAAGCTTCAAAATCTTTGCAACTTGTTTTCTGTTAATAAATTCCTTCATGTAAATAAAAAAAAAAAAAAAATCTTTGCAACTAAGGAGCAGCTTGATTTCACCCTCTCTAGGACAGACCTCTTTGTTCTCTTGGTGGTCTATGGTGTTCCTCAAGACTCTTCTCCCACACCACAACTCAAAGCATCAATTCTTCTATCATGCTATTTATTGTCCAGCTCTCTGAAGCGTGGCAAGTAACTGTGTACTCTTTATGACATGACATGACACTGTGATTTTTGTGTGTTGTCGAATCAACTGACGCACAGCTGACCCTGTAGCTGCTTTTCAGAGGCTGTAAAATGAGCAGGAGGAGACTGCCCCTCTTTCTACTGCAGAGCTGCCAGTGGATTCAAACCACCGGTCCTTGGGTTGGCAGTGCACCTCCTTATTCACTGGGCCAGTACCCATTATTACTTCTGAGTTCCTTATCTGTCTGCTTCCTGACCCTGTATTGCCACCATGGGTCTGTCACATTACTGTGAAGGGTGACTGAGTGTTGCTGTGATGCTGGATGGAAGTGATGCCACCTGTATTTCACATACTGGCAGGGTCACCCTTCATGGGCAGATTGCAGTAGAGCTGCCAGACTGACATAGACAGATCCGTTTCTAACGTACATGGGCCATTGCAAACTTAGGAATAACTGCATAACATTCTGTGATAGAGGACTGGGAAAATGGGACCCGTGGGTTGGAAGCCATTGACAGTACCATGGATGGATCGACACAGCGCCTGCAGCAGTAGGTGTCTGCCCAGTAGAGGGGTGAGGATGGCACAGGGTTGAACAGGGCTTTGTTCTGTTACGTGCAGTGTCACTGTGATTCAGAGCTGACTGGACGACACCTTAGGGCAACCCTCTGGGGAGAGTTGGCCTCGGGCCAGGTGTACTAAAGATGGGAAGCTCTGGTGGAGGACAACCCTCTGTGGAGAGTTGGCCATGTGCCAGCTCTGGTGGTATCGTCTGAAGGGACTTGTGCTGCTAGCCCACTGGCCACGTCTCCCTGGCACATCTATTAGTATCTTTGAGGAAGGACAATGAGCAGTGTCTTCGTGTTCAGAAACCCAGTTAAGGTTCAGCTATGAGCCAGTTTTGACTCATGGGCAGCGAGAGATCAGATGTCAAGAATACGGAGAGGAAAGGTGCACGACCTCCCCTCAAGTAATTCATAGTCAGTTGGCCAGGATGAGCAACTAAAACAATGCTTGGGATGCAGAATGGTAACTATAATGAAATTATGTAGTGTACTATAAACCCATGGCCATGAAGTCAGATCTTAATTCTTAACAACGTTACAGGACAGAGCAGAACTTCTTTAGAAGGTTTCCAGGGTTGTAAAGCTTTACAGGAGAAGATTGCCATGTCTGTCTTATGTGGAACCCACCTTTTGGCTTGTAGCCCATCATTTAACCCATTTTACCACCAGGCCTTCTTAGACGTACAATGCAAAACCAACCAAACCCATTGTCACTGAGCCAGTTCCAGTTTCCAAGGCTGTTGTGGGAGAACATCTTTCTCCTCACAGCCACTAAGTGGATTTGAATAACTGACCATTAAGTTGGCAGCCCAGTGTGAAGTATTATGCCACAATAGTTATTTCTAGTGACTATCTCAAAAACTCATTTCTGTTTTAAAACTGTAGAAGAAAAATAAAAGCAAACACCCTCACTTCTGTTGCTTTAAAATGACTTGTAGCTGACCCTTCACTGGGCTTCCAAGGCTATAGGTCACATGGGAAGAGATTGTCAATTTTCTCCTGTGGAGCTGATGGCATATTCCATCTCTCAGAGAAACACATGCAGCCTCTGGGTTAGCACAGCTCCCCACACACCACTACAGCTCCCGCTGATGATGCTGTGTGCTACCAAGTCAGAACTTAGAGCTGACCCTCCCACTGATAGATTTTCAGAAGATGTAAAACACATGGGAGGACACTGTCCGTCGCATGTTCCTGAGGAACAGCTGGTGAATTCCAGCTGCCAGCCTTTGTGTTGGCAGCCCAACTCCTTACCCACTAGCCCACCAGGAGTACTTAACTAGGAAATATTCAACTACAGGTGCTCTCAACTCTGACCTGAAGATCGGAGATGTTTATTGCCTTGAGAAGTACTTGGAATCTGAGTCTGTAAAAATGAGTAAGTCTTGCTAGCTAGCAAAAGGAAAATGAAGAGGTCTCAGGAAGAATGGAGACATAGATCTGTAACAAAACATCCTGATTTCCCAGAAATACAAGGTTATCTGATTACAATAATAAGGTATATGTGGAGGGTGGTAGTAAGCTGAGAATTGAGTGATAGTTTACAGTTTGATCATTACAGAAAAAATTATGTTCCTCAAGCTAGACAAAATGGATGCATTTTATATAACATTTCAGTCTAGTTAATACTCCCCATCAGTTCATGGACTAAGTATTAGTATTTATCTAGAACGTTTCAGGATCTTATAGGTAAAGAAATTGAATGTATTAGTATATTTTAGAGTAACTCACATATATTTACATTAAAATACTTGACCAGTTTGCTTTAATTTTCAGAAACTGCTGTGTATAAATCCACCCCTGTTTGAAGTCTATCAAGTCTTGTTAAGTCCAACACAGCATCATGTAACACTTATAGGACTCAAAGGACTTACAGTATTAGAATTACCTAAAAGATGGGGAAGGAATTCTGAATTTGAAGGTGGAAAATCGATAGTGAATTGTAGGTAAGTTGTATTTCCATTTAGTCTTTATCTGTGTAATTTTTACTCTGTCTAGAGAATTGTTTAAGACTAGTGGTTCTTAAAGTAAGTTTACTATGTTACTATTAAAATGCTGTGTACAGTCTTGTCATTTCTAGGTGATAGTGACTCTGTATGTGACAGATAGAAATTGGTTGTGGCCGTTATGGTGGCAGGTCAGCAGGCCTCTTCTAGCGCAGAGACCCTGGTCAGTTCAAACTTTCAGAAGCCAAGTACCTAACCACTTCACCTCCAGGGCTCCTTGTAACTTCTTTTTTTTTTTTATTTTATATTTTTAATATTTTTTTTATTTTATTATTTTTGTGTGCGTGTACCGTCAGATCAGATCTGACTGGTACAGGAGGAGATTGTCCCTCCTTCCCCGGCAGAGCATCTGGTGGATTCGAACCGTGCACCTCTGGGATTGTAGTTACAGCTTCTTGCCACTAGGCCACCAGAGCTCCCCTTCCTTGTAACTTCTTGTGATATCAACATTTATCGTATATGTTTAGTTACACTTTTATTTCTGTCCGAATTTTGAGTCTTTTTTTTTATCAATTAGGTAGAAATAATTTAAACTTGTATTAGTCTAAGTTTGTATTTCTGTTTACCTAATTAATTTAATTTATTTCATTAATTTTATAGCCTTTTCTTACCAGTAATCCTCAAAACATGTAAATTTGAAAGATTTACTGAAAAAAGCATAAAGTAGAAACCCACCTTCAGGTTTAACGCTGCAACTTTTAGGTTGCATTCCATTGTTTCTTTGTTAACTCTGTTTTCACATCTCTAAAATAGAAATAAAACTATTTGATAAGGTTATTAAAAATATATAAGATTCTGTGTCCAAATCCACGAATAATGTACTTACAAAGTACTCTGATTTAGACAGTATTTTTAGAGCTTTTTTTTTGTTAATACTTGATAGGTACTTTGAATGCTGTCTCAGAAAACCTTAAGAGAAAGAAATGTAAAAGAGCACAGTGTTTAAATAGATTTACCTTTAGAAAGCTTCTCATCCAAGTGCTAAAATATATTTTGGGAAATTATTTTTGTTTTAGTACCACTCCAATTGCTGAGAGATTTTTCACCAGTTCTACCTCTCTGATTCTAAAGCATGCAGCCTGGTATCCAAGTGAAATGCTGGATCCTCACCTAGTGCTGTTAACATCAGATAACGTGATAAGGTAAATGTTACTTATTTAACAGCTCTGTGGGTAGGGAGTTCTGTTCCTGTGTGCCAGTCAACAGCTTAAGATGTCACCAAGTACATCACTGGAAGTTGGACATGATTTTATTAAATGCCTACTGGAAATCACCAAACTATCCTGACTTTAACTATGATTACCTCCCAACTAGTTTTCACCACCTCTGTCCTTCCTAGTCTGATCTGTAAAGTGCTATTAGGATATGTTGTTACTGTTTGCGTTATTATTGTTAGGAGCCCTCACATGGACTGCTGCTCACAGCGACCCTATGAACAACAGAACAGAACCTGCCCTATCTTGTTCAATCCTCATGATCTCTGATAGGCTCAAGCTCATTATTACAATTACTATGTTAGCTCACCTTGTTGAGGGTCTTCTACTCTTTTTCTTACCCTTCATCTTTCCTATCATGATGTCTTTTTCCAAGGACAAGCTCTCCTGACAATATACCCACAGTATGTGTGATGAAATGTCACCATTCTTGCCTCTAAGGAGCACCCTGGTTGTACTTCCCTCCAAGACAGACTTATTCTTTTGGCAGTACTGTTCTCTAGCACCATAGTGAAAGGCATCAATTCTTCAGTCATCCTTATTCATTGTCCAGTGGTTAGAGGCATAGGAAGTAATTGAAAAGACCATGACTTGGATCAGGTATACCTTAGTTTTTAAACTAACATTGTTGCTTTTTAGAATTTCAAATAGGTCCTTTTTAAAAAGAAATAAATAAAATGTTTCTTTAAATTTTATCCTAGTTTACTTACAAAGTTCATAACGTTCGTATACATTGTTATTCACACCAGATCTTTTCCTTTTCCTTTACCCACACCTCCCTCCACCCATCAAATTGTGTGACACTATGATAAAGCCACCCGCCTTGGATCCTCATACTCATCCTACAATAATTTCCCCAATGCAACATGTCTTTTAATTTCTTGACTGCTGTTGGGTGTTGATTGTAGATCCAAGTAAAATTAATTTATTGACAACTTCAGTCTTTTCTCCATCTATCATGATGTTGCCTGTTGGTGCAGTGGTGAGGATTTTTGTTTTCTTGATAATGAGATATAATCCATATTGAAGTCTGTACTCTTTGATATTCTGAAGCAAGTATTTCAATTTCTCTTCACTTTCGTCAAGTTTGTGTCACCTGCATAATGCAGGTTCTTGATGAGTCTTTGTTCAATTCTGATGCCACATTCTTCATATAGTTCAGCTTCTCAGATGGCTTCCAACAACAGTCCTTTCACTGGAATAGGGAGGATGGAATCGGCGAGGCAAAGATCTGAATAACTAACTGGTTGCCTGTCAATGGTGGGGAGAGAGCTGCCATCTTGGTTTAATGTATTTGTGGCTGCTGGAGTGATGTGGTATCTTTACAAAGATGGTGTATGTTTTAGTGTTTAGCCGCCTTCTTCCTTCAGTAAGAAGATGTATCTCACAATACCTGGCTTTTTGTTTATTGAGATTTAGGACATCTTTTTATTTTTTATTTGAGTGAAGATTTACAAATCTTACTGGATTTTCATTGACAATCCTTCATTGATCTTTTGTTTTATAACATTTTTACCACTGATCAATTCATTACTGACAATGTCTAGAACCCCCTTAGGAGCCCTGGTAGTACAGTAGTAAGGAGCTGCACTGTCAACCCAAAGCACATGGATCAAATTCACCAGCTTCTCTGAAGCAAAGATGGGCAGTCTCCTGAGGTATAATTTGTTGCCTCTGAAAACCCTCTGAGGGGTCAGCTAGTCAGTTCTCACTCAGCGGCACACAACAACAAATCAACCCCTGTGTCTTTCCTTTGCCTCCACCCAGCTCACCTTCTTGTTTTTACTCCCCACGCCTCCTTTCCTCCCTCCCTCCCTCATTTCTGTTCTTCAAGTTTTATTCATTATTATCCTTTTGTGACTGACTTATGCCCCTTGTGTAACGTGTTCTAGATTCATCCATGTTGTGCAGAATTCTCAGTCATTTGACAGACTGACTCCCTTGTGTGAATGACTAGTTTCCTTAGCCATTTGTCTGTTGGTGGACACTTGGACAGTTTCCAGCTCTTTGCTATGGTAGATAATGCTGCAATAAATATGAGTGTACTTATGTTTATGTCACAGATCTTAATGATTTGGGATATATATCTAGTAGTAGGATTGCTGGATCAAATGATATTTAAGGAAGTGCCAAACTACTTTCCGTAGTGGTTGCACAATTTTACACTCTCACTAGCATTTTATGAGAGTTTCTATTTAACCATACCCTCTCCAGCATTTGTTGACGGTCTTAACTGAATTTTGCCGTTGCTGAGATGAAATGATACCTCATTGTTGTTTTGATTAGCATCTCTCTAATAGTTAATGGAAGCAGGAGTATCATCCACTTCCTATACCACAAGCCTCTGGAGTCTCTATTAACTTTTTTTTTTAATGTCTTTTGTTTATAGGGTCGTGATGAGTTATGCTCGACTCAATGGCAATAAACAACAATAGTTAATAGGGAGCTCTGGTGGCTTAGTGGTATGGACTTGTACAGCCAGTACAAAGGTATATGCTTTGAATCCACCAGCTGCTCCACAGGAGAAAGATGGGCATTCTCCTCCCATGCAGTTGATTGCCTCTGAAAAGTTGCTGGAGGATCAGTTATGGGTCCTTCTTGATGGTACTCAATGACAATAGTTAATTAGGGAGCTCTCATGGCCTAATGGTAAGAAGCTGCACTATAATCCCAAAGGCACATGGTTCAAATCCACCAGATGCTCCACAGGGGAAAAAGATGCATTCTCCTCTATGCAGACTATTGCTTCTGAAAACCCGCTGGAGGGTCTGCTATGAGTCATTCCTACTTGACAGTAAACTACAACAGCAGTTAATGATCTTAATATTTCTTCATGGTTTTGTTGGACATCTGAATGTTTTCTTTGGCACAGTGTCTATTCATGTCCTATGTCTGTTTTGTAATTGGGTTGTTTTGTCTTTTTCTGCTTGAGATGTTGGACTTTCTTGTACATTTTGGAGATGAGGTTTGTCAGATGTCTCATTGCCAACTATTTTTTCCCAAACTGTAGATTCTCTTTTTACTCTTTTGGATAAGCCGTTTTTGTTTTTTGAGACAACATGTTATTGTTGTGCTGTGTGTCTTTGAGTTAGAACTGACCCACAGCTGACCCTTCAGCTGGTTTTCAGAAGCAAGTGATTGCTCAAGATGAGATTTCCCATTCTTCTCCTAGGGAATAGCTGGTAGATTCGAACTGTGTGCCTTTGGGATTGCAGTTCAGCTTTTAACATTAGACCACCAGAGCTCCTACTTTATAATACAAGGATTTAATATTTATGAGGTCCCAATTGTCTAGATTATCCTACATTGGTGCATTTTTAAGTTATATATGATAGTTTTTGTTTTTACCGTAGATTAGTTTGCCTCATTTTGTTCTTTGATAGTCTGTTTTTTTTAAATACTACTTTATTTACAAAATTCAAATACAGTGTTTTTCAGACAAGATCCTTCCAATTTTCCTCCCCTCCCCCTCCCCATAATGATCCTTATAATTTTAGATTTTAGGCTTATGTCCTTAATCTTCTTGAGTTAGTTGTTCTGTATGAGATGAGGGTCTTATTTCAATTTTCTGCAGATATCCACTTTGGCAGTACCATTTGTTAAAGAGGCTAACTTTTCGCACTTAATGGATTTCATTTCTTTGTCAGGGGCAGTTGTCTATTGGTGGATGGTACCACTGGCTGTTGTTACTCATCCTTGCCCTTAACCCTCTCTCAGGATGAGATGTCTTCTCAGTTGGCATCACTTGGCATGTCACCTGACTCTGGTAGCCATTCATAAGGAACCATCATAACTGTGGAGCTTCTCTTTCACGACCCCCTGTGGGTTGAAGAAAACTGAGCATATTGACCATGGTTCATTCTTAAGGTGCTCAATAAATTTATTTCCTTCAAAAATTTCTGGGTGAGAAGCAGATACCATGTAGTATTCAGCTGTTACCCTAGGATACAATTCAAGTTTTCTCAGGAATTATTTTACCTTGGTGCTATTGTAGGTTTCTGTAACACATCCATCTTTAAGCTAGGAAACTCAAGGTCCATTATTAAAGGCTCTTTTTTAACTTCTCTGGCATCACAGAAATTGCTTTATTTGTAGAGTGTCATTTTTTTTTTAATTTTATGCTAGTTTATTTATAAAATTAGAATATATAGTTTTTGAGAGCAGATTCTTTTAATTTCCCTCACCCCCCCATCAAATTGTACAACCATCAAATTATACAATAATTAATTATGATTAATCCCCCCTCACCATGCACATCCTCCTCCCTCTGCTTCTACTCTCTCCTACACCTCTTGGATCCTTATACTCATTCTACAAGAATGGTTATATACAATATTTATCCTTGTGGGACTGAATTAGTTCACTCAGCAAAATGTAGAGTGTCATTTCTATTCTGTTGGTCTCTGTGTATCCTTAGACCATACTGTACCTTTGTGGTAAATTTTGAAATTAGGAATTTTGAATCCTTCAACTTAGTTCTTTTTAAAGATAATTTTGGCTACTTGGGACTACTCAAAATTTCAAATGAAATAAAAGATCATCTTTCTAATTTCTACGATTACATTAGATCTGTGGGCATTTTAGGTAGTTTCGGGTTCTTAGTAAGTCTTGTAAGATTCTCCTGAAGATTATCCAAAAACGACCGGAGCAGCACATCCACAGAGAACTGCCTAAAATGCAGACTGGGTTTAGAAAAGGCGGAGGTATTAGGGATATTACAGCTAATGTTAGATGGATCTTGGCTGAAAGCAGAGAGTACCAGAGGAATGTCTATCTGTGTTTCATTGAGTATGTAAAGGTGTTTGACTGAGGGGATCACAACAAACTGTGGCTGACTCTGAGAAGAAAGGGAATCCCAGAACACTTGATTGTGCTTAAATGAAGCCTGTCCTTGGACCAACAGGCAGTCATCAGAACAGAGCAAGGGA